TTCATTTCATTCACACTCGTGTTTACAAAATTAATTGTGTATTTTCCTCCATTTTATCAGTTTATACATTTTCTTCTCTTTGAGTTACCTGAGGGGAGATAATTATTAATAGAAATGAGTTAATAAGAGCTAATAAGAGCTAAGAATAGTTCACCTTCCACTGGCCCAGAAACATATGCAGAAGCACATATTACAGAGGAAAAGAAGAAAGGTGAACTGTACATGCAGAGCTCAGTGAGGATCAAATCAAAGAAAGGGAAATAGACAAAACTATTATAATTTTAAAGGTAAAAGGAGCAAAAAAAGAGTATATAATAGCCTGATACAACACCTCCATTATAATAAACCAGAGAAATAGACTCCTCTTCTGTTATAATTGTGAATTTAAATGCTAAATATAAATTGGATAGTCGACAATCAGTCAATAAACATTTATTAAGAACTTACTATGATAACCAGTCAGTAAACATTTATTAGGAACCTACTATGTCCCAGATATTGTTTTAAGCAATGGAGATGCAAACAAAGATAAAAGACCGTTCCTGCTCTGAAGGAACTTGCAGTATATTACAGAAGGCAATATATAAATGATTAAATATCAAAAAGCTATATATAGGTAATAAACTGGAAATAAATCAATAGAGGGAAGGCACTTGAAGTAAGAGGAGTTGGGAAAGATTTCTTGTAGAAGATGAGATTTTAGTTGGGACTTGAAAGAAGCAAAGAAAACCAGCAGGTAGAAACGAAGAGGGAGAGCATTCTATTCATGAAGCACAGAGAGTGAAAATCATCGAGTCAGGAGATGAGGTACCTTGTTCAAAGAAGAGCAAGAAAATCAATGTCATTGGATCACAGATTATGTGACAAGGTGAAAGGTGTAAGAAGAATGGAAAGGAGGAGGTGCAGGTTATAAAGGGTTCTAAATGCCAAACAGGATTTTATATTTGATCTTAGAGGCTACAGGGAGCCACTCAATTTTGAGTTAAGGTGGGGGAGGCAAGAAGGGGGGGTAGTGATCTAGTCAGATCTGACCCTTAGGAAGCCTTAGCAACTGATTGTATAATGGGGTTAGGGTGGGGTAGGGAGAGAGAGTAAAACGTCAAGGATGACATGTAGGTTGCAAGCCTGGGTGACTGGGATGATGGAAGTGTCCCCAGCAGTAACAAGGAAGACAGGAAGAGAAGAGATTTTTTGGGGAAAGATAATGAGATTAGTTTTGGACATGTTGAGTTTATGGAACATACAATTTGAGATGTACAATAGGCATCTAGAAAGGATGGAGGTCAGTGTAGGGGTTAAAGCTGGATTTGAGAATCATCAGCATAGAGAAGATCATTGAGTCCATGAAAGCTGATGAGATCACCCAGTGAAATAGTATAGAAGAAGAAGAGAAAAAGGCCTTGGATAGAGCCATGTAGGACACCTACCTTTAGCAGGTATGACATGGATGTAGACCCAGTGAGTCTGAGGAGACTGAGGAGTGGTGGTCAGAAAGGTAGGAGAACTAGAGGAGAGTAATATAGCAAAAACCTACAAAGAAGAGAATATCAAGGAGAAGAGAGTGGTCAACAATGTCAAAGCCTACAGAAAGGTAAAGACAGATGGGGATTAAGAAAATGTCATTAGATTTGGCATGTAAGAGATCACCAGTAATTTTCCAGAGTGGAGTTTTGGTTGAATAATGAGATCAGAAGGCTAGGTTACAAAGTTAATTGTTTATTTCCCTCCACTGAGGGAACTGAGAAGCCAGCCTAATTCATTTCACTTATGAGAATGAATTAAGAAGGTGAGAGGAAAGGAAATGGAAGCACCAATTGTAGATAGCTTTCTCAAGCAGGTTAGGCACAAAAGGGGATAATGAGATATGGGATATGAAATAACGGATCAAGTGAGGGTTTTTTACGGATGGGTGTGGGGCATGTGCATGTTTGTAGGCAGTAGAGAAGCAGCAGGGGAGAATGAAGGTAAGTAAGAAGGTAGGGAAATCAGTTGGAGAAGATAGGATTGAAAGAGATCATTTGTGTATGTAGAAAGTTTGCTTTTGCAGGATGGACCATGTCATTGTGTAAGACAGAGGTAATAGTGAAGAAAACAGCAGAAGGCATCTGATTGGTGGTGTAAGATGATGAGAAGGGGAGAAGAGGGTGCTCTAGGCAAATAGCCAGATTTTTTTTTTTTCAGTAAAATATGAGGCATGTTTCTCAGCTGAAAAGATGGGTAAGGGGGATCCATAGGAGATCTGAGGGGGGTTTAAAAGGTTTGGAAGAGACACTGTATTAAGTGTTATAGTGAGTTAATTAGGGAAGTGTAAAATGATTGTCCTTCAGCCACAAGGGACCAGTTGAGGTTATGTAACATAAATCCATAGTGGATCCATTCAGCACAATTTTATAATTTTCTCTACCTTCACACTAGCACATGTACAGGAGGGAAGAAATAAAAATGATCCAAGGCTGAGGGTGAGCAGGGCAAGATTGTAGATGTGATAAGGTAATTAAGAGAAAAGAATAGTATACAGTTGAACTGGTTCACCAATACAGGGAAGGGAGCAGAGTATAGCTAGTGCAGGAAAGTACTGATAGCATCAAAGGATTGGAAATCATAGTAAGGATGAAGAATAGGGTTTGGGGTTATAAGACATGAAGAGAGGTAGAATGGCAATAGATTGTGATTAGATAAGGGAATTTCAGAGTTCTTAAACAGAAAAGTGGTACATTTGGGTGATGGCAAACTAAAGGGCATGACTATCATTGTGTGGTTGAGGTGGAGAGGAGGACTAGGTGTGAGTAAGTTGAGTTAGGGTTTTGTATATGTATGTTATTTTGTATATGTATGTTAAAATATGTCAATTGGTATATGTCAATATAAGGGCAGAAATTGAGAAGAAAAAGACATGTAGTGAACTTATTTAGAAAAGAAGGAGAGTGTCCTGGAGGCAGGTAGACAATAGCCACCACAATTTTGATTGAGTAGTAGATATAGATTAAGTGAACCTCAAAGGAGAAGAGATCAATGAGTGATTTGATAGAAGGAGAACCTGGAAATGGAAATGGTGGGCAAGGAATATTCCAGAAGACAAGGGAGATTTGGTAATGTAGAAGTTCCAGATTCAGGAAACAGAGGTAAGGCCAGAGATTGATGTCATCCTGGACCCTGAGGCACACTGACTTCATAATCAATTTTGTACAGGTATTTCACCTGGACTCTTAGGAATCCATAGAGAGATGATGGGGAAAACTGAGGATACAAGCTGCAATGTAGTACAACATATTTTAAAATTATCATTATTTTCCAATCATTCTATAAGAAACATCTGAGAAAAATATGTTTAAAGTTTTGAAATTTTTTTCTCCTATAAATTTCTCAGAGTCTCTACTTACACTGAAGAAGCTCTCTATAGTCTCTGGCTTGGCAGACTACATAAGTAGTTCTCTCCCTTTCTTTCCCTTTCTCAAATTAAAGTCCTTCATTATGTAAGAAGCAAGGAAAGAAACGATGCTACTATGAACCAGATACTCTGTTAAGTGCTTTATAAATATTAAGTCTTTTAATCCTCACAACAATTCTGGGAGGTAGCTGCTATTATTGTCCCCATTTTACAGTCGTGGTAACTGAGGCAGACAGTGACTCACCCAGGGCATCACAGCTAGTAAGTGTCTGAGGCTAAATTTTAATTCAAATCTTCCTGACTCTTTCTGTACCTTCCTGAGATACAACACACTAGCCATTGCACCACCTAGGTGAAAGTCATCACATAAATACATTTTTACCAAACTTTGATAAGAACCCTCCATCTCCATTTTAAATCATTGTCCAGAAGTATAAACCTCTTTCTCATACATCTTAATGTCTTCCTCTTCTGAAGCCCTTAAATTTTATAAATAGTAGTAATGAAAAATTTACTTATGACCTCCCAAATCTTCACTTTATTGTCCAAGATGTCACAATCCATGGTATTGTTTTCTGGATTACTCTTGGAAATAGTTGTACCCATGTGAATTGCCAGATTATGTTATATAATCAGGCTTTCAAAGTATTAGTAGCTTATATACTTGGGGAGATAGTAAATTTCTCTATTTTAATGTCAGGCCAAAAAATGGCTATATTTGTATCCCTTAGCACTAGTAACAAATCTCTACTATTTCCCACCATTTCTTCCCAAGATACTTATTAAATGATCTCTTATATGTGGTGGCACATGAGTATCCACACTAAGATTCCCTAGAGGAAAAGCAACTGTCTCCTCCTGAGAGAGCCCATTCCCTCTTCTTGATAAAAATCTCCTATCTATTACATAGGTTCAAGTATTCAATTGTCCCTACTCTCCTCTATATTTTATTTTCCTACCCTCTGACATTGTGACAAAGAAAAAGATTCACCTTTGTCTCTTCAAATTGTTTTTCTTCCTGAATTTTAATTTTTTTTTTGTGAAGAAGCAGCTCAGACATTCAATTTATGGGGGGAAAATCCCTCCACAATAGCTCTCATTTATGTAATGCTTTACAATTTCCAAAGCACTGATAGGAAAAGTAATTATTATCCCTATTTATAGCTCATGTCTAGAAGAACTCAATGTGATTGATTTATCAATTTGACATATTAAGGCAGAGAGGAATGAAGGATAACAAAATAAATTTTCAACATCCATGATTTTTATTTATTTTTTTTGTGAGGCAACTGGGGTTAAGTGACTTGCCCAGGGTCACACAGCTAGTAAGTGTCAAGAGTTCGGTCTGAGGCCGGATTTGAACTCAGGTCCTCCTGACTTCAGGGCCAGTGCTCTATCCACTGTGCCACCTAGCTGCCCCAATATCCATGATTTTTAAACTCACTTATATGTTTATTTAAAACTATACAACAATTTAAGGTCCTGTTAAAATCATCCATGGAACATATTATATTACTCCATGATGTTTCAATAAGTGAAGTAGAACTGAAATTTATGTATGGATATGTAGGTTAGTGATTATAAAATCACTGCATTTTTCACAAATACTTACCACCCATGTTATTGTCAATTCACGGTTGCTTCCACCTCCTCCTCCTACATCTGAAGGAGCCACATTAGGTGCTAAAATAACAAAAGAGATAAGCCATAACTTTTTTTCTCCTAATTTCATTTATATTATTCAACAGAGAAACATATTGCTTGCGTAACCTAGGCAAGGCAAACTTATGGCTCACCATAATACAATAATAATGACCTGAAATAGAAGTCACTGTTGGCCTTAAATTCAAGACTGGTTCTGTGGTTACATGAAATAAAGTGATTTCCCCCAACAAAGTACAGCAAAATAAATTTAGTGGAAAAGATCCTATTTCTTTTATAGCAGCTTTGTCATTGTGAAATATTAAAACATATTATAAGTTTCCACATGTGATTCCAGCTTGACCTACATTTCAAGAATTTCAATCCAATTTAAAATATCCTAAAATTCAAATGAATAAAACCAAAATAACTAATTGTTTCATGGTATAGTCCATTTTCTAAGTTGTTGAAGCTAAAAAAGAAGTTTTAAGGAATTTCCTTCAAATTATTTTTTCCTAATATTTGCCATATGTTACAGATTGTGTTTTTTTATAAAGCAGAACACATTAAAGGTATATGGGTTAAATCTATGAACATTTATTAAACATCTATTATGTGCCAGGCATAGTGCTATGTGGTAGGGATACAACAAAAGTAAAAAGTAATCCCTTATTTTAGTGAGATCACAGTCTAATAGGAAAAATAACATGCAAAATACCAAATATAATCAATCAACCAATCAGTAAACATTTATTAAGTACTTATTATATGCTAAGTGTTTAGGCACTGTGCTGAGCAATAGGGATGCAAAAAGAGGTAAAAGACAATTCCTGCCCTCAAAGAGCTTACAATCTAATGGGGGAGACAACATGCAAACAAATATATACAAAGCCAGCTATATACAGGATAAATAAGAAATAATTAAAAGAGGGAAATAATTAGAATTAAGAAGGGTTAAAGAAGGTTTCTTGCAAAAGTGAAATTTTAACTGGGACATAATGTACGCCAGCAAGGTCAGTAGTCAGAGCAGAGGAGGGAAAGCAGTCCAGGCAGGAGGAACAGCCAAAGAAAATGTCTTTTCTTTGGAGAGTTAGAGTGGAACAGCCAGGAATCCAGTGTAACTGGATTGAAGAGTATGTACTGGAGAGTAAAGTGTAAGCAGACAGGGAAGATAGGAGAGGACTTTAAAAGTCAAACAGCAAATACAAAGGTACTTGCTTCTAGAGGCAATAGGAAGACAATGGAGTTTATTGAGTAGGGATGGTGACATGTTTGGATGAAAATTTTAGGAAAATCATTTTAGTATCTAAATGGAGAATGGATTAGAGTAGGGAGAGACTTGAGGTAGGCAGACCCACTAGCAGGATGTTGCAGTAATCAAGGCATGGAGTGATGAGGGCCTGCCCTAGAGTGGTGGCAGTGTAAGAGCAGAGAAGGGGATATATTTGAGAAATGTTGTAGAGGTGAAATCAGCAGGTCTTGGAAAAATCTTGGCGTGATAGTGAACCCATGGTGACTCCTAGGTTGTAAGCCTGAGTAACTGGGAGGATGATGTTACCTTTCAGGGAAGGTAGGAGAGGAGATGGTTTAGGGGGAAAGTTCTGTTTGAGCTTCAAATGTCTATTGGACATCCAGTTGGAGATGTCTGAAAGGCATCTGGAGGTATAAGACTGGACATCAGCAGAGAGATTGGGTCACGAAAGGTAGATTGAGAATCATCAGCATAAAGATGGTAATTAAATCCATCAAAGTGTGAGATTACCAAATAAAGTAATATAGAATGGGGACTATAGAGGGCCTGGGACAGAATCCAGAGGGATGGCTATAATTAGAGGACATGATTTGGAGGAGGCTCCAGTAAAGGAGGAGTGAGGAGGTGGAGCCAAAATGGTGGAGTAAAGGCAGACCCCTTCAAAGACCTTTAAAAAATGACCCTCAACTAATTCTAGAGTAACAGAACCCACAAAAAATGGAATGAAACAAATTTCCAGCCTAAGACAATTTGGGAGGTTTGCAGGAAAAGTCTGTTGCACAAGGAGAAGAGCTCAGTCCAGCACAGGCTCCTGCAGCACAGAACATGCCCCAGCAAATCTGGAGCAAGCCTTGGGTGACTGAATCACTGGCAGGAATGGCAGTTTCCACATCTCTCAGCCCACAGATGCCAAAGAGCATCAGCAGGAAAGGTCTGTCATACCTGGGTGAAAGTGAAGCACCTACACAGCCTGGGCCCCAGTAAACCAAGAGCAGTCCTTGGGAGTGACTAAATCAGCAGTGCCTCTGAGACTCCCAGCCCACACAGGGTAAAGGGAATCAGAAGGACATTGCAGGGGTCTTTTTGCTAGGGCTAAGGTAGGACTCTGTTGCTTTGCTCATACACAGATCCAGGTCACAGTCCTGGTGGCAGTCCCAGGGAGAGGAGGAGCACTACAATAGCAAAGTTTGCAGCCACAGTGGAGGGAGGACACTCCTCACAGTTCCAGGGCAAAAAAGTGCTTGTGGTTGCTCACAGACAAGATCACAGGCCAGGAATAGAATAAACACCTCTCCTTAGAAGAACTGAAAATTTACAAGTCCCTAGAAGTATCTCTGAAAACAGCTACACAAAACCCTTGAAGCTTGGAACAGTATGCTCTCCACCCTGGAAGCAGAGCCCTACTGTAACAAACAGTTAAAAGTCAAGTAATAGGCTAGGGAAATGAGCAAACAATGGGAAAAAATCTCTGACTATAGAAAGTTACTACGGTGACAAGGAAGATCCAAACACACACTTAGAAGAAGATAGCAAAGTCAAAGTTCCTACATCCAAAGCCTCTAAGAAAAATATGAATTGGTCTCAGGCCATGGAAGAGCTCAGAAATGATTTTGAAAATCAAATGAGAATGATGCAAGAAAATCCTGAGAAAAGAGTCAACAGCATGCTAAAAGAGACACACACAAAAAAAAAAATTCTGAGGAAAACAAGACCTTAAAAAAATAGACTAGACCAAATGGCAAAAGAGGTCCAAAAAGCCAACGAGGACAAGAATACCTTAAAAAGAAGAATTGGCCAAATGGAAAAAGAGGTCCCAAAGCTCACTGTAGAAAATAATTGCTTAAAAATTAGAATGGAGCAAATGGAAGCCAATGACTTTATGAGAAACCAAGAAGCAATAAAACAAAGCCAAAAAAAAAATGAAAAAATAGAAGACAATGTAAAATATCTCATTGGAAAAACAACTGACCAGGAAAATAGATCCAGGAGAGAGAATTTAAAATTATGAATTCAAAAATTATTGGACTACCTGAAAGCCATGATTAAAAAAAAGTCTAGACATCATCTTTCAAGAAATTATCAAGGAAAATTGCCCTGATATTCTAGAACAAGAAGGTAAAATAGACATTGAAAGAATTCACAGATCACCTCCTGAAAGAGATCCCAAAAAGAAAACTCCAAGGAATATTATAGCTAAATTTCAGAGTTCCCAGGTCAAGAAGAAAATATTGCAAGCAGCAAGAAAGAAACAATTCAAGTATGGTGGCGCCACAGTCAGGATAACACAAGATTTAGCTGCTTCTACATTATAGGATCAGAGGGCTTTGAATATGATATTCCAGAGGGCAAAGGAGCTAGGGTTACAACCAAGAATCACCTACCCAGCAAAACATCCTTCAGGGGGAAAAATGGATATTCAATTAGATAGAGGAATTTCAAGCATTTTTGATGGAAAGACCAGAGCTGAATAGAAAATTTGACTTTCCAATAAAAGATTCAAGAGAAGCATAAAAAGGTAAACAGGAAAGGGAAATCATAAGAGACTTAATAAAATTAAACTGTTTGCATTCCTACATAGGAAGGAGATATTTGTAACTCCGACCTTTCTCATTATTAGGTTGGTTAGAGGAAGTATATATATATATATAGACAGAGGGTACAGGTGTGAGTTGAATATGAAGGAATAATATCTAAAAAATAAAATTAAGGTGAGAGAGGAATACACTGATAGAAATAGAAAGGGAGAGGTAGAATGGGTTAAATTATCACACATAAAGGAGTCAAGAAAAAGCTTTTAAAGTGGAGAGGAAGAGGTAGGAAGTGAAGGGGAATGAGTGAACCTTACTCTCATCACAATTGGCTCAGAGGGAATAACATACACACTCATTTGGGTATGGGATCTATCTTACCCTACAACTATGTAGGAGGGGAAGGGAAAGGTGATAGAAGAGAAGGCAGATTGGAGGAGGGTGTGGTCAGATGCAAAACACTTTTGAGGAGGGACAGGGTGAAAGGAGAGAGAGAATAGAATAAATTGGGGTGGATAGAATGGAAGGAAATACAGCAACAGTAACTTAGAAAAAAATTTTGAAGCAAGTTTCTCTGATAAAGAGCTCATTTCTCAAGCATATGGAGAAGTGAGTCAAATTTATAAAAATAAGAGCCATTCTCCAATTGATAAATAATCAAAAGATGTAATCAGTTTTCAGATGAAGTAATCAAAGCTATCTATAGCCATATGAAAAAAAATATTGTAACTCACTATTGATTGGAGAAATGCAAATTAAAACAATTCTGAGATACTACCTCATACCAATTAGATTGACTAATAGGACAGAAAAGATAAATGACAAATGTTGGAAAAGATATGGGGAAAAATGAGACATTAATGCACTGTTGGTGGAGTTGTGAACTGATTCAACCATTCTATAGAGCAATTTGGAACTATGCTCAAAGGGCTATAAAACCATGCATACCCTTTGACCTAGGAATACCACTATTAGGTCTATATCCCAAAAGTGATTTTAAAAAAAGGAAAAGGACCTATATGTGCAAAAATATTCATAGTAGCTATTTTCGGGGGGCAAAGAATTAGAAATTGAGGGGATGTCCATCAACGGGAATGGCTAAACAAGCTGTATTATGTGATTATGATGGAATACTATTGTACTATAATAAATGATGAGCAGGATGCTCTCAGAAAAACCTAGGAAGACTTGCATGGGTTGATGCAAATTGAAAAGTACTGTGTACAAATTAACAGCATTATTGTAAGATGATCAGGTATGAA